TGGGTCCATGAAATATTAATTATTTTTAAGAGTATGAACATTAGGTACTAGTCACAGCCAAAAACTGCTGTAAACTGATAAATCAGAGTTTCTGATGAATTTCAAAGTTTTAATACGGTATTATGAAATGAAAAAATAATATTTGCCTATTTTAACTGCCGGTTAAACTGCCTCATTTTGTGGCAAATATTATTCTAAGATTTATTCAAGACTCACAGTAAATTCATTTTAAATGGTCCAATTTACTTTCAATTTAGACATCTACCACAAAATATCACTAATTTCTGAGGGAAAACAGAACTTGAATTAAAACTGAAATGAAAACTGGATGTAATGTGGACTCGTGAATATATCCTGTCTTTTATTGTGTCATAACCTCAAGCAAGGTTCGTTTTATTGTATCTCGCTGCGTAATCAAGTCTTCCTTAACACCTTTTTTTATTATTGTTCTTTGAGAATCACTGTTTCATAACTGTCATTCTCCTACAAAATTCGGCAACTAACATTGAAGTCTAGTAGGACTCACATTTTAACGAAATGGCAACATCGGTAAGTAGTTTTCTCTTCTGTAAAATTAGGACAAGAACACTTAAAGTTCTCTCATTCAAGTGACAACTGACAAAAAACACTCAGTGAATGAAATGAAGTCGAAATTTTATTTGTCTTCTGGTTACTTGACTTTAAGAGTGAAGTTATGAACTCAAAATATACAGGCTGCTGGCATATCCATGACCTACAATCAAGAATTCTTTCAGTTTTATTTACCAACTGTGTACTAAACATCGAAATCTTCCACTGTTTAGTCGAATAATTTATGATTTAAAGAGGTAATTCACTCGAACCTTCATTTATGCTATCAAAGCTAGATTTTCACAAAATGAGTTCCATATCGTGCTTAATACGCAGTTGAACTTTACTGTAGGGTAAGCATTCAAAATTCAAACTTGATTAGACTAATTTAGGACAGCAGCTTGGTTGAAAAACTTGCAGCAATTGGAAAATGTGCCTTTCGAATTCTGTTATACAATATTAGTTTCAATGGCTTTATTTATGTCTTCGACTCACAGTTTAGTTCAGTAAACTGTATATGGTTGAGGATATTCATTTTTTATAGCTATTAATAGGATTACATTCAGGAATATGAAATGTGTTGAGTTACGCTTTTGCTACCTACTCCATAAAAACCTTAGTCTAGCACATAGTCACTAGCTTAGTGGATAACGCTTTAACGTTTGAAGCGTGTTTGCTGGGTTATAGTGTCAGTGAAAACACTATCACTTGCTGGAATATAGGTTTGTCCAGCTGACGAGTTCCAAACTGGAAGAGATGCGTGTTCTGGATTCTACTGGCAGACAATACCAAATAAATACCACATAATCCATTCTATATTGAATCTATTTGAGTAACATGAAAATATCAGCTGGGTAATAAGAATTCTTATCTTTATTAATGAGATTATGTGTACAGTTATCCTGATGATTTACACATAACTCCAATTTGACAGTGTGAGAAAGACACCTACTAAAGAACGAAGTTTATTTAAATTTTACAAAATTAGACAGATTTACTGCCGGGAATCCGGTGTGCTTACGAATGTTCCGAGAAAAAAAATATTAAGATGAACTTGTCATCGAGATAATGAATGCAATTATTTGTCTTTAACATATAATCTTAGTGACTATTAAAGTGATGTTTTTGGGTAATGCAGCTGTAATTGGTTAAAAAACAAAGTATATGATTTGGAATCGGCGTCTATTGATGTACATTTAAAAGGAAAGTCTTCAGTCTTGAGGACACCATTATTTATCCTAATCTGTTTCGATTACTATAGTATTACAGTAGTCTTTAATAAAGTGTTATGGATCACTGATCTCTTTCATCATAAGATTACTGTGTATAAAGTAAATGCTACTATCGTCCAAGATGACATTAACATTGTACACTATGAAGAAGACTTCATAACTCTGCACCATTCATACTTCTACTGTTCTACTCAGCAGCCAACGTCATCAATAAAAGTGTTGTTGAAGACAAATATGTTACGACACAACTGTACTGGCGTATTTACCTTTCGGTTTATTTCATGTAGAAACCGTTAAATAGCAAGCGAATTTAAGTAAGCAAAACTGAGCTATTGCAAAGTACCTGCCATTTGGATCACTATTTTACTATCAAATCAAGTAAAGCAGATACGTTTTTGTAGGTTGGAAAAAACTGGTTACAGACCACTGAATAAAAGGCATTACTTTTCCCTTATCACTGACTTCAATACTTTCATATGAGATATATAGCACTTGAAGTTCCAATCGAAGAATAATTATCATTGAATGATGTGAAAATACACTAAAAATGGCCTGAAATGACGAGATTCTGAAGCTACCACATTAAAATCCACTCATAACACTAGTGAATAGAATAACTGATACCCAGAAATTTAACAGAAACCATGACAGTCTGCTTAAACCTTGAACTACCAAAAACATTTTCTACCGAATAAATCTAATCACTTTTTCTTTCCATTTGTTTTAATCTTTTGACATGTATTCTAAATGCATCATGTACTTCCGCACCTTTCTAAAAAGTTTTCAAACTGTTGTTTCTCAAGCTAAGAACAAAGCAAAGGGAAAACTCTAGGCCAGATGGAAATAGACTTATAGATGCTCAAGAGCACAACACGTTACTGCTATAAGGATAAATATATTGAGTTGCCGATTCTCCCACTGACTGAATGGAGTAATACCATCAAAATTACACTCGATTTTGCATTCACTTCTGAGTCCTGACCAGACGATAATGTAACATCAGCTGTCCATTTCAAATTAGTGTCTTTAATACTGTTGTCATTATTAACACTTCAAATGTAATAATCACTTCTTTTAAGGAGTACTGTATGAAGAGCGTATTTTTTGAAATATAACCTGCTGAAAACTCTATATTGTATCACATATATTGTCTAGAATAAAGCGACTATTATTATCATTATTTGAACTTTTCCTGGCCAGCAATGAACTGGATGATTTGGAAGAACTTGCGAACCAAGTAAGTTTGATTCATCGTATAAGGTGTATTCTACTTGTGTTATCCAGACGAATCATATTAAAAACAAATGACAAAATTAAAATTTATTTAGTATTATTCCCCAACTTTTTGATCTTGCTAAGAAGATCCTTTACAAGAGTAATAATCTGACATTCGCCGGGACAACACTTAAAATACACCTGACACGATGAATTATTATTATTAAGACGTTTTCATCGCCAGTTGATACAAAAATGAATACTTGTCTCTACCTTTTCTAGTCTGTGAGACCCATGGTAATAAAAATCATTTGTAAGTAATTCTTATTTTGAAACAGAAAAATATGTTGCTGATGAGTAACTATGCCTGAAACATTCTTTATGAGACTACTCACATTCTTGTATAACTTCAAAGATAGGCAAACTCTTAAATTTCTACGAAGGAATTCAAATGTAAAATATTTGAATTAATGAGTAGTAGTGCCACATGAACTGAGCTATAAAGGAACGTCAGTGAGATCAGTAGTCAGGGAAGTTAACTAATGGCAGAATAACAACTTTAATACTAGTCAAAAATGTTTATCCTAATCAGTTGCTGTATATTAGAAATGGATTTTACACAAGTGGATAAGCAGAAAAACTAAATAACTTATGTTCAGACTATTGCTAATGAATGGATAGTCTGGAAAGTATTTGAATCTGTTTTTATTTGACTGATATTCAGTTTGGAATTTGAAGCTTAGGATGAGGATGATAGTGGTATGGTGTTCTTTGATATTTCACCAAGCCTGGTGACGGAGTATCTACGAAAAGATATCCAAACTCAGAGAACACCGAACCCCCATCAGTTCCAGATTTTAATACGTTATTATGGGATTAGGTAGAATATATTCAAGCTGCCCATAGTGAATGTATAGCTCATAACATAAATCTTTTTAATATCTGACAGTTTCTTTTTAAGTTAGTTGAAAACAAGATTATTGATTCATTCTGTGAACAACTTAACAGTCACCCATCTTATTTTGAAGAAATGTTTGGTAAATAAATCCAACCAAGCAGTCGTGAAAAGTTCAACTCATACTTTCCACAACAATTAAACAATCCACACTACAAATGTTTCAGTACCTAGCCACTTTAGTATTCTCTAATTACTAAGGTCTCGTTCGATAGTTTGGGCATACACTGAATGATGTCAGTTTCAAATCAACCACCGTTCAAAGATGAAATAGGAGATGGAATAAATAATTATTCTTAAATTCTTATTCTTATTATTAAAAACTGCTGACAGGATAATTAAGCTATAAATTGCAGAGTAGCCTATAACAATTTTTATATACTGAAAGTAGAGGAAAATGATCGCAATAATTACAACCTACTTCAAAGTTACTAAATACAAGGTAAGCTTCTCATACACTTACTCGAAATGTATATCTGAACTGTTTATTCAGGAGAAATACAATGAGAGATTTGTTAAAAGGGAATCTGATATACTGGAGTTGCACTTCAATTCATCGTGAATATTCAGAGCACGAAATGAATACATGTAAGATAAACGATGAGAACTTAATAAGAATTCAAAGAAGAGGATAGTCAGTGTCTAGAATCTGCATCAGTGATAAACTTTGATCAATATTTTCTTCATATGACTCTCACCAAAACTCTACCTCTTTACACAAAGTATAATAACATTTGGTCTGATATTTTATCTCATAAGAACTATTATGAGGATTTATCATATCTAATTCTTATCCAATCTGGAATGTTACACAGTAGTTTTTGAGTTGACTGTTCTACAACCAACATAAAGTGAAATGAAGTAAAGATTCACTGGGATACGTAATATCAACTTAGGTGAATGGAAACCTTCCAATAGAAATGATTCAACTATTTCACTGATCTATTTATAAGAATTTGATGATTTGTGCCTTTCATTGCAAAAATCTTTAGAATGATACAAAAGTGTCATTACTGATGATAACTTACCCTTGTTTCCTTTAAAGTGTTCACTGAGTTCTTGCTTGTTGTGCCATTCAAGGAACAAATAAACAAGCTGACAGTTATAATATAGAAAAGGTGTTGTGGACAGACTTTCATCATTATTATCAATATATTTCTTTTGTGTCTATTTGGCTATTTTTGTACAGTGTAACTTTTCAGTCAAGATGATATAGTCGGTTTGTTCACTTCTCCCCAAAATTAGTAGTATTTATAAGAGTAACCCACAGAAATTGTCACTGTTGAAGAAAGTAACAGGTGAACTGCGAGATGTTATGTGAGTATCTTTATCGACTAGTGAATTAATGAGTAATTATATCATTTTTAATTTAGTGGACATACTTTGGTAGGGGAATAATGTTTGAAAGCACCGTTTTTGTTGGCTTTATGATTTACTTATGCCTGTGTGTTAGTGTGTGCATGCATTTTGTCTATGTTTTTTTGACAAATGTTTGAATCACATAAAATTACCTTTTTTATTATTATGCTTTAATTCACTTTTCTGTTCGTTCGTTCTACGCCTTCTTCTGTTTATTCATCATTACACTTGAAAATCACCTTGAGTGTTCACCATCATTATCCACAAATTTTGTGACACTGTGCATCTCTAGACACAGGTAGTTTTAACGGGAGGTAAAGAATGGACAAAGAATTCCTGTTTGCACTTCTCTCTTTCTCTATCTCTTCTTGTGTTTGAAGGAAAATTTAGTCAAAAGAAAAATCCGTAATTATACATCCTTTGATAATTTTTACAGCCATATGTTTTATTGTGATAGTCGGTGGAACAATATTCGCACACTCATACACATACCGTATATAATTATGTGTGTGTAAACACAGTCTGTGTACACAATTGTAAATTCGAATCTTGCACATTTTTCAAGTGACCAATCCTGAATTCTGTTCGATGCTTGTTGGTTCTGTCTTCTCCTTGATGAACCAATTAGTCGGATAGAACTTTAGTTTTAGAAATGATTACAAGAAAACTCCCTTATATCAGCTCTCTCACACATAAACTGAGTGATCCATGTGTGCGTGCCTTTGGATGACATAAAACTTCTGTGCACAAAGAACAGGTAATATATCCACAATAAATAATGTTTCCTGCGAGTGATTAAGTCGTGTCAAATGTACAGGACTAGAAACAGTGTTGATTCCCTTTGCAGGTTTTTATCAGATGAATTAGCGGGTGAAGATAGGCTCCCTTGTTGATATTTTTAAAATAATTTGTGAACAGTTAGTATTGTCTGTCGACAAGGTAGACAGAATATGAGAACCTGGAGCAGCTGTTCTAGTCCTCACCATTAAATATTTCACCGGTGTATGTCGTTAACCTCTGATTGGAGGTAACTCAAGTCTGTAAGATTACTTCAACTGGAAAGCGTTGCTGTCGAATACGATATGTTTTATAACATATTTTGATTTTCAGTTAGGTTCTTGCTAGAGAAATAATGGCTTCATGAAAACAAACGAACCTTATCACACATTACCCAATTTTTTCATGTCTGTTTTGTTTTGCTTTTTCATCCTATGTTATTCTCTAGTAATCTATCTTAGTAATAACCTTCTAACTAGAGTGTGATAAATCTCCAAACAGTAGGTATTTCAGACTTGCATTCAACTGAATGAAATGACCAGAAGTAAAGTCAAATACCCTTGTATTCGGTTCATGATCAGTCAATCCGTAACTGGATAGCATATTCCAGCTGCATCGTTGTAAATTTAAAAAAAATAATGTCATCGGTTCACTGCAACTAAATATGCTGCATAACCATATACTTGCTTTAGTTCGAACTATGACTGTCACTTGATTGGAGGAAATCGTCATGAAGCTCCGGACCTGGGTTTCGTGCCTACTGCCACACGTCATCAAGGCTTATCTGAATTCCTGACTGAACTGATGTCCAGTCTGTAATTCAAACCCGTGTCGCCAAGTGTTGTAGTCAGAGACCTTACCACTGAGCTATTCGGGACATGAGTGATGTCTTGTTGGACTGAATTACATGCACTGACTGGTCACTGGAGAGCAACCAAAATTATGTTTAAAGTACAAAATTTCACAAGTTTACCCCATCTACAACATTGTTGAAATATATATTAACAGTGCTGTTCAGCAATACCGACTAAAAAATAACAGTTGTTGAAATGCTTAGTGGCTTCAGGGACATGATAACTTCTCGCTATTGCAAAGTTGATTGAAGCGACGATGTTTAACATGAATTACTTCACATAATACACAGGCTAAATAAGCTATGGTTGAATTTCTGCATGTAGTTGTGAGTGCATAAAGTTGAATATATTTACCTCTTATCGCCCAAAAGGATAGATACAGAAAGATGTGCGGATGAAGAAAATGCTTGTTATCAGGTAAAATTTTTCAATCTGTAGTTTGCAAGAGTTTAGATGTCTATCCACTACCGCATTTATCAACACGGTCAGTGGTGTACCACTTGCTCTACTAACAGCCTTCAGAATCCTACCCAATACGACATGATGTTTTTATCCGAGTCGAGGAAAGAATACGGGAGAGGGGAAAGTAAATAAGTATAGAAAAAACAGTAGTTAATGAGACGTAAGAGTAGAGGCTGAGTTATTTCAGGCAATCTGAGTTCCCACATGTAAAACGTCAGGTGAGAAGTTTTCTTTCCATATTAGATTTGTCTATTTGGTTTATAACACAGCGATAGAGTATTGTTTACCTGATGACATTTCGAGCATAAATTATTGCTGTTGTTTCAGAAGATATGGACTTAGGTGCCGGAACTATTTTAATCTCCTTCCAGACGATTGGTACGTCATTTCTGTCAAAGGACTCAATAAACATGTTTGTGAGTGGATGAAACAGAATAGCACACTTGCTAAATAGAATACCTGGCATGCCATCTGGATTGAGGCTTTGCGAAGGTTTTAATGAATTCAGGCATTTAAACACATTTGTTTCACTGAATTTATGAAAACCACCTTCTGTTGTGTGTGAAAAACTAGATGAGATAACGTTAGCATGTTTATATATGAATGACTAGTTTAATGTGCAGGCGTTCTCGCAGGTTCCATTTCTAAGTATTCTCTTGCCTGCAAGGTCCTTAATAACTCCATATGTTCGTAGGAACTTTACATAGCATAACCTTCTCTTTCTGCGTTATTTTTTAGATTGAATCAAGCACTTAATTCCTTTAACACCGGCATCTCACTTTGATTTGCGCAATTTTCGTTTTTCTCTTTGAAGTCTTGGCGAAGTAAGTTTATCGAACCTTAAAAAATTATTTCAGCTTGGCAGCAAATTTCAAGGCAGAATTTAAGATAGCTTGTAGCAGCATCGATTGTGTCATTCAGAGCATCGTTTCAATTATTTGACACTCTGTTTTCTATCACATGCATCTGACTCAATGTATATCGTCATGTGTAAAGCTTCTGCTCACAGTCTTCTTAGATTGGAAGGTAGAAGCAGTTTTCTGTGGTTCGCCATACATTTTTGGTAGATTATGTGTAATACAGTGATCTAAGCTCACTAGTGATGCATGTTCTTCAGTTTCAAATGTATCAGGTTCATTAACGCAGATCAAGGCTTGTGTGGCATCAAAACAAGTTGAATAACTGACTAGATTGCTGTGTCCAAGAGAACACAAGAAGCTGCAATCGCAGGTAATAAACAGTGCACCACACATTATGAGGGCAGCAAATTCCGTGGATTCGTCGTAAAGTCTGCAAGAATTTAGAATATCTGCAACCAGTAGTTACGTGGATACTCGTGATATAAATGATTTTCGATCCATCTAGATGTTTGGGATGATACTCAACAGTCTACATTGTTGTTAAAATAGGTGAAATATGTATGATTTAATGAACACAACTGAATGTTTATAAAAAGTAGCTACTTCCCTACTCTACTTTTTTTATAGGACCATATACATCCTGTCAAAGTATCTTGAAACCATTTAAAGGGACTAAATTATCATCATTGTGCAACTTAGTTTTTGTCATGTTACTACATTAGCATTACGATAAACATTGGAACACAAGAGGCATTGTAAATAGTCTAATTTGCGCATTAGATTCCTGGAGTTTGAGCTGATTATTTTGGGTAGTGTCATTTGATGTAGTTTTGTTCGCTTTAAAGTGCGCTGGCATCCATCATGATGTCGTTTCTACATTCCATCCATCATGTTTATAAGGGTAAGTTGGTGACTTCTAAGAAGTTCACATAAGTATCTGATACGATTTAAGTTCATATTTGGACAATTAAAACAAACTAAAACAGTAAACTTGATGTATTAAACAGGATAAAAAAATTTGGTTTAAGATTTAAGTGGGCAGCCGATCAAGCACTGTCGACATGTGTCTAGTTATGCTCAAAGAAGGGATACATTTTTTCTTGAAGTGTGAAAACTGTACTCAAGTACTGAAAAAACTAATTATTACTGTTTACCAAGATGCTGATATATTGGGTAACCAAAGCACTAACTTGATTATGAAACACTGTACACAAGATTCTTGGCAGTGGCTGAGAATAGCGAATGACAGTTAAACATCAAAACGACTCTTATCCTACTAATCGGTTGGTTATGTCAAAAATATAGTTTCACCGGTGCAGTTATGCTAAGGAAATGCCATTGGCTCAATGTACATAGATAGAATAGTCAGCAGTTATTCAGTGCCGAAGGAAAGATTATCCATAAGTACTAAGGACCACCAGAAGAGCATATTTTTGAAAATGCTCACAAATTTTTGTAAGGCTTTTAAAGCCTCTGTCAATTAAAGTAACCGCGCAGAAGCACCTATACTACTCAGATAAATAAAACTAGAAATACTGAAATCTACGGAAATTAATTTTGAAGTGATTGATTCACCTCAAGAGAAGCAGTTAAGGAGATTACTTACACAAGACAGTTTAATTACCTTCATACTGTTGGACAGAATATTTGTTGTGACCTTTTATTACTTAGCACGCTTCATAAAGTCGAAATTTTGACTAAACTGCAAGACATGCCTCCTGTTTAATAGGCTCCTCGATTCCAACGCTTTGATGGTTGGCGTATTCGCAGATGCCTATTGATCTGAATGTATCTGTTGTATTATTGCACTTTGAACTAAAGCTCATTAGCGAGATGCTTGGATCCCAAACTAAAGGTCATTTAATACTTAACTTCAGGTGATAAAACTTTACTTTTGTCAAAGACCGCAGTTGGTATACTTATATCATAATAACCTCATTTCTGGAAGTGGTTTCACCTTGTTTTCTCGGTACGCATCCATTTATAATTTCATACTGATGTAAGGTAGGATATTGAGAGAATTGGAAACGACAAATATTATGTCGGTCTTTAAAATCCTTCTAAAATTCTATCTTCAATTTTTCATTCGAAGCTCTCTAAAACTATAGAGATGTAGGTTAAGTATATCTATCACTGAGGAAACAAAGGACAAGGAGAACTTTGCCACAAATCGATTACAATCAACTGATAGACCAATAACCACTGATATCATCAACAAGCCAAAATAGACGAGATTGAAATTCATTCATGAATGGAATGTTTTAACAACGTGGGAAAGCTAGTAATCTCATAGTTGTACTAATGGTAAATAATTCATCATCCAAGGTTTTTTCAGAACGATCCATTTTAGACTGTGGTAAATGTCTCGGATGTATAAAGAAAAATAGAAAAAAAGTGTTACAAGTTTTGCATATTATCATATAATTAGTATAAAACGGTTGAACATTCATTCACAAAATAAACCGAAATGAATATTTTTTTTGCGATTTAATGTTGTAACAACATGCATATCTGCAC